TGTGGGACGTACAAGGGACTTGTCTGTTAGAACTGTGCGGAGAAATTTGGCTTTCTTGGGCTATTCCAGCAGAAGACCGACTCGAGTGCCTTTACTGACAGAACGACATCGCTTGCAGCGACTCTCGTAGGCACGTGAGCATATCGGTTGGTCCCTAGATGAATGGAACCCCGTGGCCTGGTCCGATCAGTCACGATTTCAGTTGGTAAGAGCTCATGGTAGGGTTCGAGTGCGGCGCAGATCCCACGAAGCCATGAACCCAAACTGTCAGCAAGGCACTGTTCAAGCTGGTGGTGGCTCCGTAATGGTGTGGGCTGTTTTTTCATGGCATGGACTTGGTCCTCTAGTGCGACTGGACCGAACATTGACTGGAAATGCTTATGTTCAGCTACTTGGAGATCACTTGCAGCCATTCATGGACTTCATGTACCCAAACAACGATGGGATTTTTATGGATGACAATGCGCCATGTCACCGGGCCACAACTGTTCGCGATTGGTTTGAAGAACATTCTGGACAATTCCAACGAATGATCTGGCCACCTAGATCGCCCGACATGAATCCCATCGAGCATTTATGGGACATCATCGAGAGGTCTGTTCGTACCCAAAATCCTGCACCATCAGCGCTTTCACAATTATGGACGTCTATCGAGACAGCATGGCTCAATATTCCTGCAGAAGACTTCCAACGACTTGTTGAGTCCATGCCACGTCGAGTTGCTGCACTTCGCCGAGCGAAAGGAGGGCCGACACGATATTAAGAGGTATCCCATGACTTTTGTCACTTCAGTGTATAACAACGAGGGAGTAAGAACTGTAAAATAATTTTACTTTATTTCGCTCTAAGACTATTCTAGAATTAAAAATTAAGATTTGTGAAATCTAAGTGATTTTAATAATTTTGAATATGTTATTAATTTCAGAAATTCAGTTATTATTTGTTATTGTAAGCTGTGGATCTGATCTTAATGTGAATATTGAGGATACAAAACAATGGAAAATTTACAATATTATGAAACGGTCAATATATTATCTACAGTACTCATAATAAGTACTGCATAATTTAATGATAATTTTTGTCTTAGAAATTTTAATAGTCATCTATAATAAGGAAACTAAACTCTTTAACATTTGCGTTGCTTTCAATGCCATTTTAGTACTCGTTCGATCCGAATTTATTCTATACATAAATTTAAGATGATAGGCATATAAAATCATTTTTGTATAGATAGGGATATAAAATCATTTTTGTGTTGTATTAATTGTAGTTCTATTGCATTGTTAAGAGACCCTGGATCTATGTTAATCAGGTTGATTTCAATGATGAGGAATATTTTAATATTGTGTTGTTCCAAATAAAATGAACTTTCGAATACTCAAAATTTTAACAAGTCACAGACACAAAATTATTTGAACATGATTAATCAAAATACGTTCCATTTACATCAGTTCACTTCTGCCTTCGATTACAAAGCATTTTTATGCTTAGTACACATTCGATTTAGAGTCAATAAATTGGGTAAAGGCTGTTTTAACAGCTTCGTGATTGACAAAGCGTTTATTCTTTAAAAGCGATTAAAAATTTTTTAATGAAGTAATGGTCAGAAGGAGACAAGTCTATTGACTAGGCTGCATGAAGCAGAATCTCAAATTTCAACTCGCTCAGTTTTTGGAGTGTGATTTTTGAAATGTTATCATGGAGAAGAATAACGCCTTTTCCATTCATCAACGCTGGTTCTGATGGCAACAATTAATGATGCTCAATATCAATTTGTTGACAATAATATTATGCATTAACTGTATGACTTATTCATTGGAAGCTGTAATGGATAATTCCTTTTGATTCCATAAAACCATCATCACTGTCGTCTTTGGATGTAAGCTTGGTCTATGTTTACATGTAAGAATAATAGTAAACACAAAAATAATAACTCATTGTGTTTCCCTTTTTCACTCCAAAAAATGTCTATAGTGGGTCGAAATCTAATGCGGGGATATATAATTTTACATATGGCCCTCGGAGTTAAGATGCATTTCCAAAGTGGCCCGCAAGATCATTTGGGTTGGCCACCCCGGATTAAAATAAAAAAATATTGAATTTATGATTAAAATGAATAGTATTTAATAACTGTTAAAATTTCTTAAAATAAAAATAATAAACACAATGATAATAGCTATTATGGATTCGCTATTTTTGTCCGTTTGGAATTTAGACTAAAATAAGTTGCTTATCAAATTCTTAATTAAAAAGATTTTTCACCATTTGGCCATAACTATAAATTACTTCATACAAAAAATCCCATGTTATTATTTAACGCTATTTTCATTAATAAAATTGTGCTTTTAAAGTTTTTTTACTGAATATCTTTAATTTTTAGCTATTAAAATATTACTAAAGAACTTTTGTAATATAAAAATTTAAACAATAAGTATAAAAATTTCTTCCGCGTTTGATTTTCTATTATACACTTTTCGATTCAAGTTTTCTTATTAGGGAACTCTTAATAGGGATTTTTCTAATACTTCTAATTAAAAGGGAAGTATCAGGGGACTTTATATTTTAATAAACGACTACTTTACACAAATGGAAATGTTTGTTCCAATCTTTTGCTTTATTTAAAAAATATTGGACTTTAAATTGAAAACATCAGTGACAGATATTCTACTTCAGATAATTCTTGAAGAAATCATTATCATAAATTTTATCGAAATATTAAGAATTTGCTAAAAACAATTCGCAAAAGATTATTTTTGTTTTTATCAACTTCAAAAGATATCTAATGACGCCGATCGATTTCTTTTATCTTCGAAATTATGCAATTCGAACATCTCGGATCAGACGATAAATAAAACACTAGCAAAAATAAGAAGGAACAAAAAATTCGCCACTTTTTTAGTTTTGATTATGCTGTAGTAATTCACTGTTCCAAAATCAGAAAACCAGTGCTACCAGCATCATCTGACAGCGATTATTACGTCACAGGAAAGTTGGCACTGTTCCTATTAATTGGGACATCCTTCCTTTTTGCTTCTATTTTATTTTTCGATAAGAATAAAGGTTCCAAAAATTCGAGTCACTCAGATTGCCTGCCAAGGCTGAGAGAGTGGCGGGTTTTTGTTGTCTGTTTTGTGCCTGTTTTGCAAAGTGTTGTACATCACACTGCCATGTGGAATAGAACGAAACAAATATTTCAGAAGCGTCCGCTTTTCACTAACATGATGTCATTTGGCACCATGTATGTGGGTGCCGAAGTTGCCCAACAATTGATACTTATGCAATCGGATCATGAGAAGAAATCCATTAATTGGACTATGGTTAGAAATTATGCCATAATAGGTTGGGCTGGTATAGGACCGGCACTTTTTTGCTGGTACAGGATGTTGGACAGAGTGTTACCGGCAGCTACTGGTATAGTGGTCGCAAAGAAAGTATGCACAGATCAGCTGATAAGTTCTCCGGCCTGCATAGGAATGTTTTTTGGCGGTAAGTTTTTCTAATTCATACTATAAATTAAATGTATTATTTCATTTCTCATAACTTTATTTTGTCATTTTGTTTTTGCTTTTTGTGTAGACATAAACTTTTTTTTTTAATTAGAACAATATTGATCTGAGAAAGTTTAGTAAATTCTTGCTAGGAAACACACAAAAATAATTTATCAATTGGTCAAAAGGAAAAATAAAAATTGAATCGCATTGAATTTTATTATTAGTGTCTGAATACCTGCCTTTTGCAAAGAATTAACCAATCGAATAATTTTTTTTCGAGCCATTTAAATATTAAATGGGACTATCGAAGACAAAGGAGTACTTTAGTAATTGAAAAGTCTTAATAAATTTTTATTTCCTTATCTGACATAAATGTTCTCTTAAAAAGCCTCCAGATAGAAAATCTTTCCATAAACAAAATGTTTGAAGGAAAAAGTTGGAAATTATGTAACATATGAAGAATATTAAATATTAAAATATATGAAGCAAAAAGTTTCATATATTTTTGTGAGGATCTAAAGTATTTAAATGAAACAAAAAACTAGTAATTTTTTAATTCAAATCTGAAATTGGGACTCAATGATAGTTTATACTTGCAAACAAGCAAAATTTTGTAACATAGTTTTGCCTCAATAATCGAACAGCCTGGTGAGAATTTTATATGTTTTCTTCAAAATGAAACGAAAATGTGGGCCAACTATTTTTGAAAGTTTTTAAAGAAAATATCATTGCTTTTTCTCTTTAGTGAATTAATATAGCAATGTCATGGATAACTTACTATAATCCTTTCGTGGTCAATGACCTGACAGTCACGTGACCTACATTCTTTCATTTTATATAACAATGGTTCGAATAAAATTGATATCTTGCAATAATCCATAATTGCAAAAAATAAAATAAAATTATAAATTATAAAATTATATCTGAAATAAAAAATAACTTTTTCTTTATATTATCGATAACTCGCCCCTTGGTGCAAGTGAATAACTTTCGATTAATCGTTGATTATCAAATTTATGATATTTTTAGAATAGTTTATCTAACAACCTTGAAATTGTTATTTAGGTAAGTGGTAAATCAAGAAAATTTATAGATACAAGACATTTTTTGTATTATATGATTATAAATTTATCAAAACATTCTAATTAAAAAAAAATAGAAAAATTAAAAAATTATTATTTACTATTAAAATATTATTAAAAATATTATTTACTATTAAAATAAACTACAACGTACAATTGTAAATTAATTTATTCTCTAAATCAGTAGAGTTTAAATAATTAGTATAAAATAATTTCTTTTTCCGTATGTTTTTAAAAAACAACAACATTGATTAAACAATAATATATTTTAACTTAATTAAAAAAAAGGATGAATGCTTTTAAATAAATTCAATAATTTTCTCTAAACTTTTGTTTATCAATAAGAATGGTTTTTAGCATTAAAATATTAAAATAGCTTCGACAATTATTGGATACAATACAAAATTACTTTAAAAAAATAAAAAAAACGGCCATACAATGCTGAATATACCGGTTCTCGTTAGATCATCGAAGTCAAGCATCATTGGGCGCGGTCAGTACGCGGTCAGTACTTGACCACCTGGGAACACCGCGTGCAGTTGGCATTCACAAATTTGGGACCTGAATGGCCGAGTGTCTGGCGCTCGGTGCCACAGGTTTCGGGTTCGAGTCCCGGCAGTGACATGGATGTTTGTAGTGGTTCGGAATCCACTTTAAGCCGTAGGTCCCGGTCTCCTATGACTGTAAGAGCGTCACGGAGCCAAAGTCAGACTTCTACTTACGGGTGCTCCATCACAACAGAAGCTGCTTCCTTCCCCTTCAATCATGAGTACGTATGGGCTCGTGGGCTTGAACAGCCAAGTGGGATAAGAAACAACAATAACGTTAAAAAAGCTAGAAGAGATAGTAAAAGAATGCTTGTATTAAAATAGAAAGTGCCCATAAAATTAATTGTATAGCACCCATCTTTCCTCAGCTAGCTCAAATTTCTTTTTTTGTATCGTGAGAAGATTGAAGAATGTAGTAGTACATGTAGTAGTACATGATGACGCAATTTTTGTAAGAAGAGCACTGAAGTTCAACTAACTAATATTTATTTACACTAAAGACAATCATAGGAGCGCAGTTCTAATATAATTCACAGCTATTAACAATTTTTAGCAATAAATGTTTTGGGCAAAAACCGTTACGTTTCGTTATGCTCAGAGCGACAGCAGCTAGACACACCATACTTGCAGGAAGCCAAAGTTCAGACTTTAATTTAAACGATTCTCATTTGTTGGAGAAATCACGTAGAGTATGACGTTTTACTGCTTTGCGGTGAAACGAAATTTAGGATGATTTGAGTCAGGGTCAAGTTACAATTAATTTTTCTTCGTAGTACACCCAAGTGATTGTTGTTTTCATCAATTGTGTTGACAAGTATTTGATGAACTATAGAATAAATAGCAGCTGTGATATGCTGCTACAATTCTTAAAAATTAGTATTGTAGTGGGCGTGGGTTGTTTGTGCAGCTGGATCTGGGTGTGGTTGGGCACAGGTTTAAGAACACACCACTTTATTTACAAGCACGTGGGCTTGAATGGCCGAGTGGCTAGCGCTCTGGCGCTTGGTACCACAGGTTTGGGGTTCGAGTTCCGGGGGTGCCATGGATATGTGTGGTGGTTCGGAATCAACTTTAAACAGTAGGTCCCAGTCCTAATAGGACCGTAGAGCGTTGCGGGGGCATTGTTACTACGCGTCCGGCGCTTACCATCAAGTTACACGCACCCCCTGGGTAGTGCTAAGTGAGTAACGTCAGTGCAGCGCTTGCCTTAAGGCATCCAAGACCAAGCTGTCTAAGTGTTTGCCAGCTGCATTAGAACAAAAAAAAATTTACAAGCCCGTAAACAACACCACAATTTAAGATAGGCAATATTTAACTCATTTAGAACATGTACACCCATTTAAAGATTTGTGGAAGGATTTCAATTCTAAGCTGTAAATAAAGTTACTCAGGTACATGCTGGATAGCGAAATGTACTTCCTCACATGGTGAGAGTTTGTAGGCCAATAAATACACAGGATTATTTTTAAACATTATTTCTCTCGGGAGGAGAGAATGTTAAGCAAATGTTTCTCTACAGAAGCGTGCGAGTTGCATTTCTCTCAATAGCAGCGCCGGTTTCACTGTACGTCCTCTATGGTGAGGTTTGATTTGTCGCTCTACGATCATCTTGTGAACACGAGGGCTAAACAGACCAGGACCTACAGTTTAAAGTGTATTCCGAAACACTACAAACATTCATGGCACCTCCGGAACTCGAACCCGAAACCTGTGGTGACGAGAGGTGAGAGTCTCGATGCCTACTGACGATTTCTTCAGAACTCCATAAGGGGCGCTCTTGCAGTGCGTAGGAGGAAACACAGGTGCGTAGGTGGAACCACAGTTACAATAAGATCTTCATAATTACAGTACAGTAGACACAGTTGTAGAGCTACAAACCAAACCTCACCATAGAGGACGTACAGTGAAACCGGCGCTTCTACTGAGAGAAATGCAACTCGCACTCTTCTGTAGAAAAATCTTTTGTCTTTTTACACAGTCTGATCTACTGTACTGTAATTATGTACTGTACAGTAGATAATCAGATCTACTGTACAGTAGATCAGACGTAATTTCATATGAGAAATCCAACGGAGACTATCCCCTTAAAATACTTAATTTCTTCAGATGCTTGTCAACACATGCCATGAAACTAAGTGTTGCTTTGATGTTGCATGTGTTATATTATATATTATTATTGGACACATTACAAAATGATGTAAAAAAAAAAGTAAGATAGAAATTCTTTTTTTTTTTTTTTTTATTAACTTACAATTTAACTGCCTATAGTTAATAAATTTTCTATGTGATCCAATTCGAATGTTGAATTAGGATCACACAGAAAATTTATGAACTATAGTAGTTAAATTGTAAGTTAGTAAAAAAAAAATAATAATTTCTATATCACTTTTTTTTATATCATTTTGTAAAGTGTCCAATAATTTTCGGACGCCATTTTATTTCAATAACAGTAAAATTACAGAGTATTTATGAATAATTCAGATTACTTTGTTTATTTGTTTTTATAAATATGTAAAATAACATATAAATTCTGGTAGCATAAAGCTTAAACAACATAGATTAAAACCTGCAGATTGAAAGATTGCATCATAAAAATGGTAGGTTACGTATGTTGTGATCAAGGTTAAACAATTCTCTTTTATGACATTGGTCATAAAAAACAATTTTTTTTTCTTATAAAGTTGCTTACTTTGTATCGATCTTTTAATTTTCAGTACTCATATGTATTGTAATTTTTATTGATTGTTATAAATTAATCTTTATCAGTCCATGTTGGACAAAAATAAATTTCTACATACTTAAAAAACAAATTTCTACTTTCTTATATGTAGGCGAATAAGCTACATCCATACCCTCTCTTCCTCGAGGAAAATAATTAGTTTTTCATTACAGTGTTAATTAGCAATAATTGCCTAAAGACCCGCGGCCCGTCTTGAATATTTTTCCGGGCCATGAGATTTATCACACTTTTACAAAATATATTTATTTTATAATGGCCAAAGTAATGAAAACAAATGCCTTAAAAAATACATTATGTGTGCATCCATATATTCTAAAAATAACTGTCTATATTATGAGAAAAAATTAACTTTGAGTTTAAAAAAATATTCTTGCTAATATATGACAGATATATATATATATATATATATATATATATATGACAGAAAAGATATATATATATAGAGAGAGAGAGAAAGAGAAAATATATATAGAGAGAGAATTTTTCCAATTTAAGAAATCTGGCACAAAAAGTTGTTAGCGCTTTTGGTTCAACTTACGCTTGCAAAATCATTTTTTTTTCGAAAATGAAATTCACCAAACACAAAACATAACGGCCGCTGACCTGCAACACCCATTACGATGTGCAAATACCCAAATTGAGAACGATTTGCAAAAGCTAAGCGAAAGAGTGGAGAAACAAATATCGCACTAGTAAAACAAATATCTTTTAAGGATTTCATTTTTTTTATTTCGTTTATATTTATATATATTTTTCATATTACATTTTTAGTATTATATATTTCTATACAATGTGCGTTTAGTATCATTATTATTATTATTATATAATCTATGCTTACATGCTATGTTTGCAAACACTATAATAATAACTTGTTATGTTTCAATTTTTCACTCCAAAAAATATCGAGAGTGGGTCCAAATATAATATGCAGATATATAATTTTATATGCGGCCCGCGGAGTTTGAATGCATTTCCAAAGTGGCCTGCAAGATCATTTGGATTGGCCATCCCTGGCCTAAACAATGGCGAAAAAAAGTTTCTTTTTGGTAATAACTTGCATTTTTAGCAGTAAGAACTGAGATTTAGAAATTGCGTATTGATTTAAATTAAACCAAATTCTCCAAATAGAAACTCGATCTTTTCCTTGAATTATACACTCGTAATGTAGATTTGGGCCTATAAGGTAAACAAGGGACCACCATTAATTTGTCTATTTTTACTAATTGTCCTTTCATTTTAACATAAATGTTACCTCCTTTGTAATTTTCGTATTTATAATGTAGGTAACCTTTTGCATTTATTTCTGTTCAGTCTACAGACCTTTTTTGGAAATTTCTTGCAACATAGTCTGTTTCTACTTAAACCAATGGTTCTCAAGGAGTGCGCCAATGGCTCACAGGTTTCCCCTGTGGTGTTCCAAAGAAATACGTGTGCCAGATATGAAAATAAATATAGTTACTCTTTTTTTAAATCAATAAATAGTCAGTTTTCCGCTTTCGAAAACGCTGACATTTTCAGTTTTTTTCCCTCCTTTTATCCACGTAAAAAAGTTCCAAATAGCGATGATCCGCCAAAGAATGCTTCTGAGAAACAGATGTAACTTTTAAGGTCGGTTACTAGACGTGTTAGCGTCTATGTGATTTTCAATGCTAAAAAAATTTCCATTGCAACCTATGGTTTGGTTTGTCGCTCTATTTTCATTTTGTGCATACTTTAGACTAAATAGACCGGTACCTACAATTTAACGTGGATTCTGAACCACTAACAAACATCCACACCCCGCTAGGATTCACTAGTCAATTGGCTATCAGTCCGCTTGCAGCCTATCAGACACTGCCGTCTTTGGAGTTGATCATCTAACGTTAACTGAAGAAGAATCCACTTGTTATATCCACTGATTGTGGATTGGCGATTAAATATAACTAATTGTCTCTTGAAACCTTTTGGATTTCTATAAAAAAAGAATGCGTCGCAATATCTAAAAAAAGCTTTAAAAATTTTACTACAATTTACGTGGATTAGAAATGCGCAATTAAGTGTGGAAAGGGTATAGAAGTGAGTATAGTATTATATATAGTGCAGCATTTTAAATAATTTTTAATTGTATAGTGCGTATACAATTATTTACATGATTTCAAGTGCGCCGTGATTTCAAATCTTGAGAGTTTAAACAAATTTAAGAACTTAATAGAAAAGTTTCTGTCAATAGAAAAAATGGTTAGCAACCCAACGAATCTCGAACCCGCTTGATT